CTACTTCTTCCTGGTGAATGAACAGTCTCAGAGCACATTTACCTTTATACGTTAAAATGACTGCAACACAAAATGGACTTTGCATAATTCTTACTATAGCAATACTTTACTTTAAAAATACATTTTATATAACAGCTCAATGAATGAAAATTTCCTAACATCATGGCTTATTTTAAGCAAAAGTTTTGAGTTTTTGTATGGCTGAGAAATGGAATACTTGGGGATATAGCTCAGTGGGCACAAGCACCTGCCTGGCAAGTGCAACATCCTGAATTTGATTCTCGGTACCAAAAAAAAAAAAAAAAAGGAAGAAAGAAAAGAAATGGAACACTTAGCATAAGGCAAGAAGTCCTGTGGGGTACAGAATGTACAGCAGGAAGCCCTCAGGCTCGCAGCTGAACACAAAGAGCTGGACCCCACCCAGAAATCTCGGCAACTAAGAGAAATGGTTTCAGTCCAGCATGCACTTACTAGAGCAATAACTAGATACTTGCTCAACATATACCTTTACAAACTTGCAACGTGTTTATACACTGACGAGGCTGCACTGTGCGCAGTGGTCTTTTGCTGCTGCGCGTGTGCATGTGTGTGGTTACACTTCCACACACACTCTTTCTGACATGGACTGAAACAAGAGAAGCAGATTAGAAAGAGGTGCTTCCAGTGAAATCACATTTAGCCTCTTTGACAGTAAGTGGCAGAACTTGTAACTAGAAAACCAATTCTATTCCACCATGCTTTTCTTCTCTGTTTCAACTGCTGCTATTTGGATATCTTCTAAGTAGAGTGTTGAGGAAAAAGAGAAATGCAGACAATGACAGCCCTGCCACTGCAACATGGGTTTTCCCTGTGAAGTGCCTCTTCACAGAGTTGGGTCAAAAACTTTAGAGGAAGCTGCTGGCAGCTGGGAGTCAGACAGCAGGGACTTTTGCCCGATGAAGGTGCCAAACCAGAGGGAAAAGAGAAAGAAGGAATTCTGTGTCCTCTGGGACCCTTTATACAGGGTTCTGGCCACTGAGGCTTGTCTTGTCAACAGGGGCCAGGAGAGCAGCAGGACTCAGAAGAAATGAGCCAAGCCCGGTTCCGCAGAGATGACTCACTCTAGAAAAGATAAGGGACCTAAAGTGCACCTCTGCTGTGTTACTACTCACTGATGAAAAGCTGACTCGCTCTGACTTCTCTGAGTGTGTGTCATTCACAGCCTGCAAGCGTGAGACACAGAGTCTGGTTAAGAAATGACTTGGAGCTTATCTGACACTGAAGCCTTCATCTGTTAGGTAATGAAAGCAGTGACTTGGTCAGGGCACATAATTTGAAGGCAGATATTCTGTTCGTCTTTAGTACTTGCTATAATTCTTCATCTAGCAACTGGTAAAATAAAGAACACGAAGCATCTATAAAAAGTTATATTTAACAGAAGAGTAATATCAACTAGATTAAAAATGTTTTATGTCACAAATCTCAGTAATTTTATCAATCGTGCCATGGATACACCCAAAGTTACAGCTGTGGACCATCTTCTAGGGCATCCTGTTTTGGGGTGCAGGTTTGTGGGACATAAGCAAATAAGAAGCCACTACAGGCTCCTGAGTGCCACGCTGCAGAGTGGCAACAGGCACAGCGCCCTCCCAGGTCTCCCTTCATCTCAGACATGAAACAGAACATGTAGATTAATGAGACATGATGGATCCACAGGCAGAAAAATACTAACATAAAAGCAGAATCATTCAGTTGTTTGTGTGAACTGGAATCTGAATACTTCAGTATTTCTGGTCTGAACCAGGGGTTTCTTTTTCTTTTATGACCGAAATTTGGTGCAGAAAATATGAAGTTACCTAACAGAAAAATGTCTTAAAGAATGGAAATTAGCCATGCACTGGCACTGTTGTCAGCAGAGCAGGAGCACAAACTATGGAAAGACTTTAAGGAAATAAAACCATATGGAAATTCATATTTACATGCAGACTGTATTTAATGCCTAGTAAAACAGATAAAGTAACCATGGTTACTGCGGACCACACCTAACAGAAACTGCCTCCAGGAGAAAGCAGTCTGGGCACATTTCTTTCAACTCTTAGCTCCTGGTGGACTATCCGCATTTCATCGCAATCCACCAGCTAAGACAAGTACAGAATTTAAACCATGAATTGCTCATTATGCGATGATTTAATTTCACTTTTGCCAAGGTCCACAGCAGACCCTTTCAGATGGCCATTCACAGGCTGCTGAAAAGCCCTGACTACAGCAAGAAGCCTCAGAAGTTCAGATGCTGGCTCATCTACTCACTGCGTCTGGATGTGCACGTGGGGACGGGGGAAGCCCGGCCTGTTTCACTGCCTGTGACATGGCGCTAACTGCTTCATACCTCAAAGGATGGCTGAAGAAACTACACAAGCCAGCCCATGAAAACCACTTAAAACAACTCAAGTGCTGGGCACGTAGCTCAGGGGGAGGGCACTTGCCTAGCACCTGTGAGGTGCAAGCGTCATCCTGAGTGCCCCAAACAAGCGAACAAGACCAGTAGCAGCCAGGTGTGGTGGTGTGTGCTGTCGCCCCAGCCACTTGCCAGGTCAAGGCAGGCGGACAGCTTGAGCTACAGAATGAGACCTGTTTCAACAACAACAACCAAAAGCACAAAAATAGTTCCACCTCAAAACCACTACAGAACTAGACCAAAAAACCCCTAAGAAAAACAGTTTTGGATGTAGCAAAGTTCAAGAAGAGGCAGTAAAGATACCCTAGCACACTAAGGCTGTGCCAATAAGCACTCATGAAAAAAGGGTAATCCCAAGGCCTCTATGACTTGTACCTAAAGGACACTGCAGTCACTGCGCTGGCTGATGTGCTCTGCAAACTGCCCTGAATAAGGGGTAGGGCCTGGAGTACACTCTGCCTAACAAAGCTTCACTAGAGCAGGGCTGGGGAACAATAACCCTCAAGACACGTTTGATGAGTAAATGAACGGCTGAGGGCAGTGATGTACGGCGAAGCTAAGAAGGGCTGAGAGTATCAGAAGGTGGAGGCAAGGAGACACTGGAACCAGACCAACAACTATACTACACAGCCCACTCAACTACCGCACCAAAGGAACACACCCCCACCCACCCGGAGCTACTATTTCCTAAATATGAAACTGTCAGCCAGAAGGTGCAGCCCACAAATATAACTGCCAGTATACTGAGTATGCCAACAATATTTACATCTTCCTAGAAACATTTGTAAAAACACTTCATGCAAAATGATGGTCACTTCTATTTACAATTAAAACTTTCCACAAAAATATTTATATAAAAAAACTACCACAGCAAAGACTTCATGAATAAAACTCTTCACATAGGAAGTACTACCAAAAAAAAATCAATAGATAAGTCATATCAAATTAAAAAGCTTTTGCATAGCAAAAGAAACCACCAACAGAATGGAGACAAACCACAGAATGGGAAAATACTTTTACTAAATACTCCTCAAAGAACTAGCATGTAGAATATATAAAGAAGTAAAAAGAAGTAATTTAAAAAAAAAAAAAGAAAAATCAGACCCCTCAAATTTAAATACCCAATCTAAGACTGGGCACCTGAAATGAACACTTTTCAGGTGAAGAATAATAAAGAGCAAATAAATACATGAAAAAATTCAATATCACTGGTCATTTGAGAGATGTAAATTAGCTGGGAAAGTAGCTCAGTAGAATAAGCACCTGCTTGGCAAGCACAAGGTCCTGAGTTCAATCCCTGGTACTGCAAAACCAAACAAAAACAAATTATTGACTTGAGAGATGCAAATTAAAACAACACTGAAATTACATCTCACTCCAGAAGAATGGCTACCACCAAGCAATCAACCATTACCAAATGTAAGTGGGATATGGGGCGAAAAGGAACCCTTCTCCGTAACTGGTGGGAGTATAAATGGCTATAACTACTATAGAAATCAGAAGATTCCTCAAAAAACTAAAAGTAGACATTCCATTTAACCCAGCTATGCCTCCTTTAGGTACCTCCCCAAAAGAGCAAAAAAAAGCCTCATACCACAGTGACACTTGCACACCCATGTTTATGACAGCACAATGTACAATAGCTGAATCTTGGAAATAGCCCCTATGCCCGTCAACAGACGAATGGACAAAGAACATGCATACGCAATGGAGTACTAGTCTGCCACAGAGAAAGATAAATTTGTCAATTCTAACTAAATATATTAACCTTGACTATAATCTTAAGTGAAACAAGTCAGACATGAGTTTAAGTGTCACATTATTTCTCTTGTGCAAGAAACCCAAAAGGTACATAAGGAGCAAAATGGAGGACTGGGAATAGGAAGGACACATTCAAATGGAACGGGAGCAAGGAGGGAGGAGGGGAAGGGAGAAGGGATTTAAACCTGAGAATGGAAGGAAAAAAACAGAAACAAAGCTTCTGTAACTGGGGAGTAGAAGGGCTGAAGGGAAGGGAGGAAAAGAAGAATTAAGACATATTATGTACCCGCACAAATTCTTTATGATGAATACGATCATTATATGTGGCGAAATGTGCTAATAAAAATAAAAAGTAAGTCACAGGAAAATGAGCACTATGATACTGCAGAAAAGATTTAATTAGGTTCTGATTTTAACAGGTAAAAAGAACCTACTCTGAAGGAATAAGAAATAAATGAGTTCTTTAGGCTGAAAAATATACATGTGACTTACTAAAATCTAGAGGTAGATTTTTCCAAGAATTTATGACAAACTGAATAATTTCCTAGTAGAGTGGGTAACATTTTGAAAGCTACAGGCTGAAATACGATCTGCTGTAACTACAAATTAATTTGTTATTTGGGACCCTACTCTATTGACACTTAGAACAAAACACATAGCTAAGAGTCTCTGTGAAGACATTAATGAAACATGGAGAAGATATAAAACAGCTCTCATCACAGATGGTGCAAAAATATAATTCAGGTTGACATCACAGCAGATAAGCCCACAGATCACGGTGAAGCAGCACTGGATTCTGTTTTACCTTGGATTAGGAGCGTGGGCTCCCTGCCCCCGCCATGGGCCAGCATCTCCCTGCGATAGCGCTCTCCTGCAGCCCTGGGGAGAAGGACACGGTTACACTGCTGCACAGCCCACAGCTCAGCCACCCCATCCACCGGCCGTCAGTTTCCCAAAGGGAGCCACCCTCATGCACAGTCAGAACAGCTGCCATCAGGGGACACATTAGCCCTTGATTGTTATTTCTTTGCTTTTAAAAATCAAATTTGCAGTGGTTCTAAAATAAATACAACCAAGTGTGATAGGTTCACTGTAAGTGGGTAACTATAATTTTAGCTTTGTTGTTAGCAAGCTGTCTCTTTTTATAGAAAGGATTAACCAGTTAATGTATAATAATTAATTGATGAAATCCTATTCTGTGTAGCTGAGATGGCAAATAACAGAGAATACCACTCTAAAGTAACAGTGAAGACTTAACAGCACTTGGAAACAAGCTCTTTAATGGTATCTTCTATATTTTATGGAATGTGCATTTCTTTTAACATAAATGATTACATCTGCTACATCAGTTTGGATGCTGCTTTCACTCTACTAGCTCTGGAGTATCTTTCTATAGACACTTTTGTGAGCAGTCTCTTCTGGGATGTTTTGATAGTGTTATAGGATCAAAAGTGACACCAAACACCAACCATGGTCACACCCCAAAGCAAGCACCAAGGCAGAGCAGGAAACAGGCACAGAGCAAGAGGTGGGGGTGGGCCTCTCCGCGTCCCTGCCCTGCCCTCCTGCTCCCGGCCTGCCCCACTCAGTGGCACCACCTGCTCCCTGACAGAAGTGTGGAACCTCCTAGCTCAGTGAGCACTCTTCCCAGTTACTCTGTATGTCCACAGAAGCACGGCAACTTCACGTCTAGGCAAGAAGACACATGCAACCAAGATATAGATTTGGAAATACATGTTTTAAATAGTGCATGCTCTCCTGATATAGTTCCTCCAAATAAGATGGTAGTTTGCCCATTTTATAGAAATCCTGAGTAGAGAGCTGCACTCCCAGAAACTGCTTTACTATAGCATAGACTGGTTGTAGATCCTTTGAAAATAATAAAATCTGAAAAACAAGGAACTGTCTGCAGCCTGCAAAGGGCAGAAGACAAAATAACATGTGGGTACCAAGCTGTAAAATATTGAAAATTTTATGACATTAGATTCAAGTTCAAAAGATTTTGGAACTGAATGTAATTATTAACTGCTGAAAAAAATCCAATTCTGTGTTAAGCTAAATAAAAAGCTAGGAGGCGCAGAGAGGTGGTGCTGTGACACAGAGCTAAGAGCAGGACAGACAGATCGCGTGAGGGGAGCTTCTCAGTTCACTCTTACAAACAGGACCAGTTCTGCCAAGCTGCTATGAATGCAGGTGCAAACCTGGGACACTAAAAATCTATTTTAACCACGTTAAAGCACTGAAGGTAACGGTCCTCTCCCTCAACTGCCTGAGAGGCATGTAGACACGTCTCTATTTACATGGTGAGATGATAAAACGCTTTAAACAACTATGACATCAGATCGTAATTGCTGGTTTGCTTTCAAAGGTGCTGCCTTCTAAGGAATCTTCAGAACAAAACCTGACTTACTCTTGGTTCCTATTTTCAGAGGAGGTCCTGTGAGGATGATCCAAAGGAGGTCAAATCAGAAAGTCTCTTGTACCCTCTGTCTGGCCTCAAGTCCTGCACACCTCTCCACCCAAGCGTAACCTACCCAGCTTTGCTGAGTGACCAGAGAAGCAAGGCCTGCCTCCTCTGGGTCCCTGCAACCCCAGCTCTCCCCAAGCCCTTTGGTGTTTCGGCTCTGAGGAGTAGGGCATGATGATTGGGATGTATGTGTCCCAATCTTCTTATTCAATCACTTTAGGCTTATACCCACTGGTTACTCCAAAAACTCGCTCCAGGGAATGGATCAAGGAGTATGCATAACAGTTTTCTTTTTATTTCAACTGGAAAGTAGAGGACTCAGCTGTTTGCAGACTACCAGACTACCCTGACAGAGGTACAGCAAGGTGGCCCAGGGTACACCCGAGCCAGAGGCAGACAGTAAGGACAAGAGAATGTGTGCAGATGACATCAGAGGCCACCAGGAAGGCAGGTGCATCAGGGACCTCGGCCACTGTTTCCCTTGAGGCCCCTCCCCATTGAGGGCAAGCGTTCCCAAGGCAGGCAAGAAGGAAATTTCCAGAGACAACCCAGATGTATACATCAACAAGTCTGCAACAGGGCATCTCCCAAGTGAGGAAGCGTTGTAAGCCCTGCAATGGGCAGGAAAGGAACGGCAGTGTCCTCCACGTAAGCGAGCCTTCAGCGGCCTAGGCCAGGGCAGAGAGCTGGTCCATGTGGCCGGAAGCATGGAGAGCAGGAGTGTGGGAGGAAAGCAACCGGAAACCACTTGGGAGGAGAGCAACATGCCACGGTGTGGGAAAGCAGCGGAGACCATTTACAGACGTGAAGGCACCTCCCAGCATCGTCCCCCTACAGATCACAGAGCTGTGGAGGAGGCAGGAGTTCAGAACCTTGATCAGCTGTGGTGCCTCCTCTTCCTGTCACCCTGGCTGGGTTCTGCACACTGACTCTGGATGTAGCAGGGTGTGGGTCACTGTGACTGAAGGAGGGGATATTTTACAAACTCCTTCTCCCCTTCTTACCTGTTAAAAGGATCCTGCAGAAAACACTCCTTCCAAACCATAGACGCTACGGCCCTGGACATCAGGTAGGAGTAGTATTTGGCACCATAGCCCACCAGGTGGCTGAATCGCAGCTGCCAGGCCTGCCAAAAAGAAAGAGCATGGGAAACAACCGGACCTTGGTTATGAGGCCGAGAATACGACATCTGAGAACACAGCAGAGCACAAGAGGAAAGCTGCCAAAGTTCTCACTTAAATTTCACTCTAGGTGTCCAGGTCACTGATGACAGTAATATTCTCACATTCTGTACACTGAGACAGGCTGAGTGGTGTGTCCCTAACACTCCTACGAGGAAGCCCTACACCGGTACCTCATAATGGGGCTGCATTTGGAAGTGGGACCTTTAAAGAGATGACTAAGTTAAAATGAGGCTGGTGTCCTAAGAAAAAAGGACATCTGGACACACAGAGAGATACCGGGGGCATATGCACACAGGATGGGCCACGTGAGGACACAGACAAAAGCAGACCATCTGTAAGCCAGACACAGGCCTCAGGAGCAACCCACCTCCCAGCACCTGGCTCTAGCACTGTGAGAGCACATGTCTTTTGTTTAAGCCAACAAGCCTGGAGCATTTTGTTGTAACAGTGCTAGAAGATCAACAGGTACACAAACAACATTTTGTACCAGAGAAACAACCTGTGCATGGTTATTCTGAAATGAGTTTCATTAGTTATTATGACTTTCTAATATCATAGGACTATTTAGAAGAAGATGCCACAAGCTTATTTTTAACATTTGGTTGGTTCACTAAGTTTTACTCTGCAAAGACTATTTGCTGCAAGAACTCCTTTTTTTATGGTCTGGTTTTGCTAAAGCTTAATACCTTCCGTGTTTTACCTTGTTAATACTTTACAACAAAGTCAGCAGGCACAGGAAAGAATAGGATGCAACTGGAAGGTCACAGCGTAAGGCAGAATTGGGGAGTACTTTTTTTTTTTTTTTTTTTACAAGAACAAAGGCCAGGAATGGAAGGTCACCACTGGCCATGGCAGCCTTCCAGTGAGCAAGTCTGGCTTTCTGCCTTCTCTACACTGGTTCAGCTCATTTTTAAATCCAAATAGTTAATTACTTTGTCTAAGGTCATCCCTTTGGGGCTCCTGTCTGCAGCAGAAGCACAGAGGAGCCCAGGAGGCAGCAGGATGGGGAGGCCAGCGGAGCTCGATCTGCCTGGTCTTCAGCCAGCTGGAAACACATGACCAAGGACATCAGCAGGGAGTTTCGAGAACATCCGTCCTGAGCACAGGCTGTTGTGATAAGAAAAACCACTGGGACTTCCCAGGACAACACTGTCCCAGTGGAAGCTTCTTTTCCTACAAATATGGTTGTTTCTCTGAAGCTGGAAGCTGCAAACACCCACACTTGGTAGGTCAGCAGAAGGCAGGTCACACAGGTGCACGTGCGTGAGCCCCTGGGGCTGAGTTCTCTGTCACCTGGTACCAGAAGCTCTATTATAAGTTGTTCTGGCTGATACACTGTGTCCACTTGGGGAATCTAGAATCTTAACTAGGTAACTCAGCACTTCTGCATCCTGGGGTGAAAAAGGTGTCCTCACCGCTCTAGGGCTCTAGGACAGGATGTGTTCATTGTGTCAACCTGAGAAGTTTAGAAGTTCAACTAGGTGATTCAGCGGGGTCTGGGGTCCGTCCTTTGTGTACAGCCTCAGCCTGTGGAAGAGGAGGGCTCGGGGACAGGGTGGGTGTGGCCGGATAGCCATGTACCAGACAGGGGAGGAAAAGAGGCTTGCGTCCCCCACCCCCGCTCGTGCTCTTGCTGCGTTTGCGCCCTTCTGCCCCCTTGAACTGTTGCCCCTGGGCCATGCCACCCTGCCTCGGAACCAGCTGCCTGTGGACTGAGGCCTCCACAGACTGTGAGCTAAATAATCCTTTCCTGCCTTAATCTTGGCTATCAGGTATTTCATCCCAACAATGACAGGAAAGAAACCAAGACATAAGTGCTGTCCTCAGAGACATAATTTTATAATTTTTACTTTTCTGAAATAAATCTGACAGTGCAGCACCCATTTTCTCTAAATATATGCTTTATCTGGCATTAATTTTTTTTTTTGAAAAAGGAAAGTTTCTTCAACAATAATCATTTTCTAACTGATCTGATAACTTTCTAGGAAAAAAATATAAGAAAGATACAGTCCTTAGTGTAACTCTATAAACTAGACTGGCAAGTCCTGGATAGTGTATCAAGAAGCTGGATGCAGACTGAGGGAGCAGGCTTTTCCCAGCTGGGACACAAATGGTATCTAAAACAAAGCAAAACCATCTATGGTCAAATTCTCACACAGAAAACTCTTAGACTATATTTTTAGTTTATTGCGTACATACAGTTCTGCATACTGTCTTATTTTAAAAGAAAATCTTAGTGCTCTTATTTTATGCTGGAATCTCAATCTACTCAACACTGCTTCGAACACGTGGCCCACTGGTGATTTTCTCACATAGAGCAGCTCGAACATGCTGGCATCTTTGGTACCAGAATGTGGTTGCTATTTGAACGTGACACCTTACCGAGCCGCTGGCCATTGCTATGATAATACAGCATCTCTCAAAGTGGAAACCCTGGGATTAATAGCAGGGGTCTGGCCTTTGAAACCCTTTCTTTTGGGTAATCTTCCAGAACTTGTTTGGCAGCCTTCGATTGCAGGGCAGAGTCTGATTCTGTTGAGATTTGCCCTGCATATAGCTTTGTTTTGCCTCAGAAGCAGGCCTACCTCAGCAGTAGCTCGGTTTCAGCTAAGGAACGTCTAGGTCCTCAGTTCATTGACCCACCACCGAAATCTCACATCATCATCATCATCATCATCATCATCATCATCATCATCATCATCATCATCCTCGAGACCTTTCAGAGCTGAGAAAGGAGACATCAGGATCTGAGCAGTGTGCTGTCACCTCGGCTGCTGCTTCTGCCTCCTGCTCAACCAGCTGTGTAGGGCCAGCCCCATCTGCACACACGTGAGCTTGCTGTGTCCCACTCTTTAATTACAGGTTTCAGTTTGGTCCTACATGCTTCCCATACCTCAAGACATGATCCAGAAATTAAACCTACCTTACACCTTTCATCAGTGGTTTGTAAGTTTGTACCGACCAAGACCTAAACACAATTGCTGAGTTCCTGCTAACTGAACCCACTATTAAGTCCTGGTTTCCATTTCACTCATTCATCTGGAAAAATGAGGACAGCATTTCACACTGGGTTCTAGAATTAGGCCCCATTCTTCCTTTTAAGTCAGAGGTTTCTTCTTCCAAGAAGTATCTGTCAGTTGGATGAAGTTTTCAACCTTCCTTTGATATTTCATGTATGAGTCTAGTTTCAAAAATAAACAATGCAAATGCCTTTGCAATTTCCCTCCCACAGTGTGTAGACCTATAGACCTCCACACTATCTCAAGGCACAGCTTTTCTTTCTTTTATAAGGACCAATGCGTAAATCCTGGGCTTCTGCACTGAGCTACACCTCTAATCCTTTTTTGAGACTGGCTCTTGCTAAGTTGCCACGTTGCCATGGCTGGCCAAAAATTTGTGATTCCTCTGCCTCACTCTGCCAGTGTGCTGGGAACCCAGGCCAGAGCCACCACATGGGTTACACATGGCTATTCAAGCTTGGGGTAGGTAAGCCCACATGAAAGCTGAAGCAAGGGCAGGTGGAGAGGAGCATGGGAGCCCGGTGGGTTCCGTTTCCTGCGTTGAACTCAGCAACCATGAGGCCCTTGGGCGTTATTTGCCTATTACCTTCTCTAGCTCCATCACCCCCTCAGAATGGGACGGTAGCAATGTTGCTGTTTACTTACTACCTTCTCTTTCCAAGTGGAGTAAGCACTTGGGAGCCACACACTAATTCTGAAAGCTGGAACTGGCCAGCTTTCTCAGTTAGACTATTATACAGCACACTGTTCCTGAGCCTCCATGAGATGTGTATAAATACATTTACCTACCATGTACTTCAGTACAACCTCATCACAGGAACATTACAACCCCACGAGAACAGAAATGACACCCGCTGCTTCCTTGGCATGTTTCCTTCTGAACTGAAATTATCTGAAAGTCATGGGCCACTTATGTCCTGGAGACTAGTCACCTAATACTACTTAGTCACCAGGTTTAGACACAGTGCAGTATCTGCTGGAGTGCAGCAGGAATTCAACAGCGCTCTACTTAGGCAGACGAGGGACAGGCACTATGGGACTTTACCATAGTATCGCTCCATATTATGACAGACTATAGACATCTTCAGATTATGAGACTGACACGCTGCCGGCTGCGCTAAGAGGGCATGTTAGACTATAGACATCTGACCCAGATGAGGAGCCCAGGAGTTACATTAGTATCACAGAAAGAGGGCTAAAAATATATTAGATCTCAGACTATAAGCGATTTAAAAAAAATTGGCTGTATTATTTGACAGGTGTAGCCTTTTGAGACTAACATTGGCATGAGACTTTCAAGAAGAGCATATGAGATGTGCTTCCTTGAATGTGAACTTGGTCTCCTTCTGGCCTCAACGACTATGCCAGGGCCTGGCTGGCAGCACACAGAGCACGCAAAGCCCACTGCCCATGTGTGTACCTCTGCAATCAGGACCAGAACAGGAGACAGGAAGCAACACAGACGGACCAGGCTGGCTCCTTGGTTTTCGTGTGCTGCATTCCATGGGGAGTCTTTCTTATGACACTGAATCACTGGCATCTGTTTTTTTTTTTTTTTTTTTTTAATGACTTCAATGGAGAGCAGAAGGAGACAGTGACTTATTCACCCTGTCACATTCTTACCTTTTTCTCCTAATGTGTGCATCTTTATTTTTAGGAATTCATATTCTAGCATTTCTAATTAATACAAAGTACCTACTCACATTTTACCAAATCTGTGAAACAACAGTGTCAAATGAACAGGAATTCTTACTTTGGGACATAAAATGGTATTAGGTGAAACATACATAATTACGGTGGACACACCCATATGTGGTATCCCTGATCTGTCCTCTTCTGGTGAAATTTCCTTCCTCAAGTAGACAGAATCTGTTCCCTACTTCCAACCAAAAGAATATGGCGTTGGCACTGCACGTCACTCC